TTTGGACTAATCTCGTCTTTGTTTACATTAGCAAGCATCGCTAACACTCAGAGCTAACATGTACTGGAGAGCACATGTGTTTAAAAAGCAGGAAATAAAAAAAGGAACTCAGCTCAACTCAAAAAAGCATTTGAGCTCCATACTGTTTCAGAAATAATCCTTGATGTGGTTTAGAACAGGATGGCGTTTTATCACAGTAGAATTTAACTTTATCTCCGGTAGAATTCTGATCAGGCATTAGCTCCGCCTCCTCTTCTTTCTTTATTCAAGCTAAGGACCCAAGATCTGCGTTTCTCTAACAGGGCTGCAAAAGAGGGGTTTCAGCAGTATGAGGCATGGCTACAATGGGGGATCTGTTTGGTATTTCGAAAAAAAAACTTCACAGATGTGTTTTTTAGAGGTATGGCCCTACAATATATCATTCAAATATAGCATGATAGGTCCTCTTTAAACTATAAGCAGAGGAAAGAAATTGAGAGCTTTCAGAAGAACAGCTGATGGATGCTTCATTTCTGATCACGTTGGTCATCTTCTTGAGGGATTATTATCCGCATGAGCGTTGTTTGATTTCCCCATCGCTCACATTTAACTTGGTTTTTGAGTGAGTGACGTCTGGACTGAGGCTAGGTTTTCAGGAAGAAAGCCAACTCTTCCACTGGGAAAAGCTGTCAAAATGGGACAAGGTGCAACAGAACCAAAGTGTAAGATGCCGTTAGCTTAGTCTAACACTAATGACAGCAGCGGCATTCACCAGTTTTTAGCACTAACATGGTCCAAGCAGATGCTCAAATGTTATCAACAGCAACTATACAGTACAACAAGGTCTCTGTCTGCAATGCTGGCCTATAGTGTTATTGTGTAAATGAAAAAGAGGGAGTTGCAGCAAGGAGAAAAAGCTGAATGGAGGAGGGTCGTCCCATTCAGTGTTTGGACAGCTGCACCCCCCCTCCTCCTCCTCTGTAGGCTACCTGCCTTAAAGCTACCTCCTTCCTCCCTCCATCCTTTAGCTTTTCCCAGATTCAACCCTCAGTGTGACCGCGCTGCTTACTGAATAATGAGAGCATAAAACAGCAGTGGTGACGGTTTGTTCTCTGCCAAGACTTCAACCTGTGGAGCCAGTGAGATTTTAATAAGCTCTTATAGCCATGCGCTCCTAATTGTGCTTTAATGCAGCAGATTTTTATGACCAAGCTGAGACTCATTTGATGGCTTCTTTGGTAAATGGGGAAATAAGTAAGGCATCTTGGATATGGTGGAAGTGGAACAGATATTAGTTTGGTAATATTCCCTCGTCTCACAGCATCCGCCTGCTTTTTAAAGAGTACACGTTGCCTCTTTATGAAGCGGTTCGGAGCGGTCTATCTTTGAGGCACATCACAACGCTTAAAAGGTCTTTCACACACTGCTCAAAAAGGGTACAAATTAGCGTCCTTTCCCCTGGCATCTTGTCTTCTTTTGTGGTTGAGATGTGTAAAGATTAAAGCATTTACACAAACTCATGCATACAATGTCTGTCAGAGGACATCCTGCAAGTCCTAAACAGCACTGTAAGTGTTTCATTTCTGATGAAGCAATCCACTGGTATCTCAGGGTAATCATTCCTGGATGTTAAATTAAACCTCCAGTATTGAAGTTCGAAGGCGCGTTAATGGAAAAAGACTGTGGCAATCACACAGCAGTAACCTCAGCCTATTATGAATGAAGAATGTATGTAATTAATGCAGGCTTGGGGTAAAGCCTTAATAAAACCATCCATCAGCCTGTCTATCCCACTATAACCAGTCTCATTAGGGATTATTGTCACACACCTTTCTGTAGGTAACATTCCTCAGTGAATGAAGAATCTACCCCAGAAAATGCAATATGAGCACGTTAGCATTTAGCATGTTACGTAGACCAAACTTTCATTTGTTATTGCTGTTTGATTGAGGTCCCTGTAAGTCTGCAAAGAGGGTTGTAAGTGACTCACTCGATCACGTTCAGTTGAAATTATATGATGTTGTTCTTAAACACTTTTCCCCACACATCTCTTGTTGCTGCGATGTGCAAAACAAACATTATCTGCAGTTGTTCATGTCTCTTCTACGTCAACATGTGTCCCCTCTTCTTCATGTCTCTTCTTCATCAACATGTGTCCCCTCTTCTTCATGTCTCTTCTACATCAACATGTGTCCCCTCTTCTTCATGTCTCTTCTACATCAACATGTGTCCCCTCTTCTTCATGTCTCTTCTACATCAACATGTGTCCCCTCTTCTTCATGTCTCTTCTTCATCAACAAGTGTCCCCCTCTTCTTCATGTCTCTTCTACATCAACATGTGTCCCCTCTTCTTCATGTCTCTTCTACATCAACATGTGTCCCCTCTTCTTCATGTCTCTTCTACATCAACATGTGTCCCCTCTACTTCATCAACATGTGTCCCCTCTTCTTCATGTCTCTTCTACATCAACATGTGTCCCCTCTTCTTCATGTCTCTTCTACATCAACATGTGTCCCCTCTTCTCCATGTCTCTTCTACATCAACATGTGTCCCCTCTTCTTCATGTCTCTTCTACATCAACATGTGTCCCCTCTTCTCCATGTCTCTTCTACATCAACATGTGTCCCCTCTTCTTCCTGTCTCTTTTACATCAACATGTGTCCCCTCTAATTCATGTCTCTTCTAGATCAACATGTGTCGGACCAAAGATTCACTGTGCATTCCTCCATCACATGCACAGATGAGTACGCCCTCCGCTTCGCCGCTCATGAGTGCTCTGTCTACATCGAACATGGTGTGGCGGCGCGCGTCTTG